ATAAATAAATATTCATATTCATATATACACGATACAAACTCAATATGTTTCTAGTGACATCGTCGAAGATTATAGTAAATACAAGTTTGTCATATAAAGTAAACTGATTGCTTTGATTAGGTTCAATTTTTACCACAACATTTGTAGGTTGGCACACAGGATACTAAGGCATATAAGTCCTAGACTTGGTATTAAGGAAAGAAACAGGATAGAAGCGACGAAGACTAGAGCTAGTTGGCTGACAGTAGGCCCGTTTTACGATAAATATGGTCAATGAAGCAAAAGCTTGACCATTAGAAGTACTCAGGGGCTTCGAGTTAGTCTCCCAGACGCAGAGTGTGGGAAATAACGCCTCAAAAAGCAAGATGGGGTGGCATGGGTAGAGTGGAATACTTGAACCAGGGGGGTGGCAGACGGATAAAACAGGGCAAGAGGGAGACTCTGATAAGACCTATGAAAGGAGGATTGTGAAATAATATGGCAGACTCTGATCCACATTCACAGCCCAAGGGTGAAGGTGTAAGAAAGCCAGCGTTGAGTGTGGAGAGTTCTCACGAAAGCCACTCAAAATGACACAACAGACCACATTTAAATAAGCAAGTAAAAAATTTGTAAAAGTGAAGGCGTGATACGAGGATGTAGGATTGGTGATAAGCTCAGAGCAAAATGAGATATATCACGATTTATAGAAGTGGGTTGACCTCGTTGTCGCAACTTGGTCTTGTTTTCAGGGACACTATGTAGAAGAAGGTTAAACTATGTCTATATAACTAAAGGAGACTGAGACCACCTAAAAGACAAAACCATTTTGGAATTTATAGAATCGAATAATCGCTTTTCCTGTAAATCATGGGTCCCCTGTCTGTTTTTCCAACTATTGCCTTCACTAATTTAAGTGCACAAACCAAATTCAAATCCAGCTGGCATAGTTGAAAAGACGGAGAGGCGGGGTTTATCTGTATCCCCGCCTGAAGTATAAAGCCTCACTTGAGGAAGGTTTACGTACTTTTAAATGGCCTCAACATTTCCTAACCACACATAAAAGCTCGAAATGAAAACAGGCGCCACAATCCTGAATTTGATAGTAGCTTAATGAGAAAGATTAGAATAAATAAATAAATATATATATTTTAAACAAATATCAAATTATATACATTAGCACATATACATGAATAAATAAATAAATATTTATATTCATATATACACACATATATATATATATACATATTCGCTAA